AAAAATTCAGATGGAGGATGCAAGTCACAGCACTGCATGAATCAAAAGGAGATGTTCACCAAAGAAGATGGAGCTGAGAAAGTCGATGAAAGGATGTACAGAAACAAGGAGAGGTGCAGCTGATTTATGCAAGACAGAGAATCAACTTGCTGATTTTCTAACAAAACCCCTACCTAAAGCAAGATTTGAAGTTCTCAAACAAAAGCTTGGAATATGCAGCCTCAAAGTCAAGGAGGAGTGTTAAATAGTGTGACTTAAGATGCTGCAGATACTTCAGTTGAATGAGTCGAGAATAAGTTACTTCGAAAGAGTCAAAAGTCAGTTACATTAAATCCTATTCTTTATGCCATTTTTTTGGAAGATATTTTATGCTTTCGTGTAGCAGATTTCTCTGCAAATTTAGTTATGAATCTGCTGTATAAATAGTTGATCATTACGCTCAATAAAAATAGTTTTTCCTCCTCATATTTCCTTGTATGTTTCTATCAACACCAACAAAATTGTTAAAAATATCGAAGTAAAGTTTCTGATATTCCAAACTCTTGTTAAAAATAAAGCAAAATGCAGTTGAGCGAGCACAAAGGCCATTTTTCTATCTGTGAGAGGGAGAAGATGCAAAGGAGAAATGAGAATAATTTGATCAGAAATTATTGATTTCCTACACTGAATCATATGTTTCACCCAGTATATTCAATAGAATGTTTGTATAAGAACCAAACAACCCTCATACTCTTCCATCCCCTCCCTCTTCCGCCCTTTCTAACTATTAGAACAGAACTAGTTAGCATATATTTTTTGATACAACGTTTTTCCATAGTCTTTTCTTTTTATTATTAGTTTTCCGTTAAGATTAGCATATTTGCTATGCAGCTGAGCATTTCCTCTTTTAGATTATTTTCCTTTTAGTCATAACTTATCTTACAAATATACTCATGGAAAAATTCCTTACAGAACAACACAATTATATTTAGATCAATAATATTATTCAGTTTTTATGATCACAACAAGAGCAAACCAGTTCTCATTTTATCTAACTTTTCCAGATCTACAGTCTAACTATCCATGCGAATCTTTTCTCCCTGAACTAAGAAAATATCTATGTGCATTTTGCTTCCTAGCAATAAAAAGGTCTCTCTGTATTTCGATTTTGTTACTTCTGACAGGTATGGTTCCAGCACTAAAAACAATTTCTAAGACCCAAAATGGTTGTCTACCATAATTAGCCATCATAAAATCATAGATCTTAGAGATCCAAGAAAAACTCACTTCCTACCTGCTTAATCTGTTAATTTGAAGTTGAATTTTTGGCAATAATCATGCGACCTAGGGAATTAGAAGACTGTTTCTTGCCATTATTCATATTTGAAAAATCAGAAGGCACTAGTTCAGGAGC